TAAAAATTACAAAAATATAAGAGAAAAATATTAAATTAAGAGTGAAAAAGAATACAATCCACATGATTTTTGTAGTTTTTAATAAATTTTAACCAATAACTAGGAGTGTGTTGGAGAGTGTTGCTAGTATTTATCTTGTTTTCATTCCCCTTCCCCCAATATGCATTTTTCTTGGTGGGAACCATTCAGTTGGGTTGACTTTTTCCACCAACACAAAGTGTTAACAATCACATTTAAATCTGCAAATAATACTAAGGAAATCATATAATCTGCAAAAGGGATGTTATTATTTACCCTTTTAAAATTTTATTGAAACTTACATTCCTTTTCATATTCTTTTTAACCTTTTGCACTTAAAGACTAGCCACTAATCTGAGAACATGTTCAAACAGTTTTTTTTTTTTAAAAGAAGATGAAAATATTCAAAAGTAAAAAATGGTTCAGAAATAACTATGTTGGTTCAGAAATAACTATGTATTTGGCACATTGTCTCAATCAACAGAATACAGATAGTATACCAATCAATGCCTTGTCACAGTTTATTTCGGGACCCAATTAAGGTTCAAGCAAACATGCCACTAAAGGAATGACCAGTATCAATAACCCATTGGCCTATCAAGGTAGTAAAAGGAGGGGTCCTATTAAACGGTTACCCCAGAATGGATGCCTAGTACAGACTACAGCCACACCTAATACTAGTTCTTAATGGTTACACGTGGATACATACCCAATATACTCAAGCACAAGTCAGCCCATGCAAAATACAAAGTTTTGTTACTGAGTGGTTGGATTTGCTACTAAGTGAAACAATTTGCCACTACTTTTTAACTCCTTCAAAACTTGTTCCTCCTTAAAATATTTGTTATGATTTAATTACTTAATTGTTTATGTTCTGATATTTCTACACGAAATATCCTGTTGTATCCATAAAAACTTTGCCATACCCCACACCATACCGATATCAGTACTCATACCATATCCATGAGACTCCAGAGCAAAACAAACAACGTTAAACGATTACACCATTAAATGTGCATTGTAGACCTTAACCACAGAAGACATTAAACCAAAGACACAGACACAGATGTCATGAAGCAGAAAAACTCGAAAACAAAGATGTCTGACCTTTAAAGCGCGGTAGCATTAACCATGCTCGATCACATCCAAAGCATGGTAAGAGAGCATATTCTTCCCTGTAGAACAGAAAATTCTAGCTCGGTACGAGCAAACATGTGTTGGCAACGTTGTGGATTATCGTCAAAGCTAGTCCTCAGCAACTATCAATATCTACAACGAAGTTACGGTCATTCCACTAAACAAGAGAAGAAAACATCAATTAGATTCAAATTAACGCGTGCTTAGAGTGCGGAGCAGTGAAATCAGAAATGAAATAGGGGAAGAGATGAAGAAGCGAAGAGAATGAGGTTGGATTACCTATTTAGTTAAGAAGTGAGTCACGTGGTTTAGGAATGGAGAATGAAGAGAAGGTGTTTGAGGAAAAACCGGAAGAGATTTGGGAAGATAAATATGTGCGTGAGGGAGGAGAGAGTGCAAGGAAATTAGTTGAGTTTCGCTCTCCGCGGGATGGTCCATGATCGGGTCGGGTTCCCGGACCTTTTATCTTTCTTTAACGTAAAAAGTGTATAAAATAAAATAAAAAGAACTTTGTTTATTGATATATATTTTTTATTTTATGTCTAAAGACAATAAATGCTGTTATAACTTTTTTTAAAATGAAATTAAAATTACTGATAAAATGCATGGGTTGGAGACAATTGTGTCTAGAGCATTCTTTGGATAAAAAATGTATTACAGTCCAATTCCAATAACATTTTAAATTTTATTTAATCTATTTAAAATATTTTAATTAGATTGAATAATTTTGTTTTATATTCTTACTTATAGTTTAATTAAAAGGTGAAAACTAAATTTTATTTATTATTTTTATATATTTAGCACAAAATATGTAATAAAAATATGATAAATATAAAAATAAATTTAAATTGATTTAAAATTAATAATTTATAAATGCATACAAATATCAAAACATATTTTAAAAATAAATTTTCTAATATATATTTATAGGCATATATTAAAAATTTATAAAAAACAATTTTTTATTAACAATTGTAAAATATAATATATAATAATACATATTATAAATTTTTAATAAAATTATTTATTTATTAATATTTATTTATATATCTCTAAACATGCGTTGAAGAAATTCCGTAATCTGAACCGTTGGCAATGTCACGTTGTTTATACTTTTGAAAAAAACAAAACAAATATGTTGTTTACAACTTGTGGGTTGAGATTAGCGTACTGGCTTATGGCGCGAGGTGAGTCGTGTGCTGCGTGACTATGTAAAGAATTACATGGGTTAAAATATTAGTTATATAATTATTTTTAAAGTTATAAACTTTATAATTAAAATAAAATATTGTTTTATTAATTAATAATTATTTTATTTTATTAAATTGAAAAATAAAATCTTTAAAACTACGTAAACCAAAAAAAAAAAAAGACTATATTCAAAAATATTTGTTACCATTACTAATATGGAATGTCAAAATTTAAATTAAGATAGAGTGAAATTATCATAATCTTAATATTAATTTTTTTTTAAAACACGTGCATTTTAAATTTGATATAATGTATAAATATTTATGTTAAGATAACAGTGAACCAGGAAGGAATACCTATTTAAATTTTATTTTCTGGGTCCAAAGTCCAAACGGGCTTAAAGTATTTTAGACTCACAGATCATCAAAGGCTTTTTTTATACAAGTCCATTATAGACCATCAATAATGTCCAGAGTTAATGGCATGCTAACTAGATGGACTCTTTACCCTATTCATTTGTTTGGGTTTTCCTTTTGCTATTTTGTAGGTTGATACGTAATTTTGATATCCAAATAAAAATGGAAGTACTCCTTCCAAAGCAATTTTTGCATGCCTTTTCAACTGTATATTTTTTTATTATTATCAATCTTAATTAATAAGACTTACAGCTACTCAAAATGGATCTTACTTGATAAAAATTGTGTATTCTTTCTTCTAACATAACTATATCATATTATTTATTAACATGAAATGATTCAAATCCCTTCAGCAGCTAAACAACATCTTAAAACAATTTATGTCACCATAAGGAATGCATTTTCCGGATGAAAGGCTCAATACCCTCTCAGATGAAGCTCATGTCTTTACCATTAAATATCACTGGGAATTTGAAATAATTGAGTGAAGAAAAAAAATCAAAATTCCAAGGAAAACTGTTCATGTAGACTAAGGAGAATAAATACGAGGAGACTAATTCTAATAGTTAAACAAGAGACAGATAATGTTTGATTTTTCCATAGATACACTTAAACTCACATTAACATGAGTTTTTGCTCTTTTTTTTTTCTCCTATACATGTATAATGTGCCTTTTTTTTATGTCTATTTACTTTTAACTCAAATAAAGCCTATTTCTAAAAAAAAACAAAACAAAAATAAAAGCATATAACCTTTTTGTTAAGTGACGATTTTCATATCAAGCTTTATCATTTAAAAAAAAACCATTTATCTCCAATTTGCTTTTGATTTAAAGTAATTTTATAAAATGAAAGTTAGTTTGAAATTAAGTACATGAATATTCATTCAAACGCATTTAAAGAAGTTATCATGTTTGGTATCAAAACAATATTTTGATATAGGTAATCACACGCTGAATTAGGTAAAAAAATAAAAGAGAAGTCATTTATATTTAAAACACACTCACATAAAACAAAAAACAAAAAAAACACACACACAAACGTGATTCGACGTCTCTCTTTACATTCACGAATTTTTAACTATTTTTATTATGTTTGTAATTTTTAATATAAAATTACAAACTATTTAATATACTCAAAAGATTACATAATATTATAATATTGTAAGTAAATAAACACAAAATATATATTTTTTATAATATTTATTTTATCTCTTCCTTTTCAAATTTATTTATGTAAGAATAATTTACTTTAGTCCAACATAATGGCCTGATCAATCCCTTTTGTGAAAAACAAAAAAACTATAGCAGCATTATTTATTCACATAAAGTATGTGACAAATGTATAACACAATTAGAGAGAGAGAGGTTTGAAATTTTAGAAACAAACAGCAATAATCCGCTAGAATTGACTCATGTTATGGAGGTGCCTACCCCCTTCCCCCATGACAGTGACTACTAGTCTACCACACTCACTTCCACAGAAAGCGACTTCCATCTAACCGGATAACCAAGTTAATGAATTCCTAGAACCAAAAACAACACACATTTTTATAATATTCATTCTTTGTTTTTTTTTTCCTATCCATAAAGTTTGAGATTTCTCTGTTCTCACTAAGAAAAAAAAGTATCCGAAATACGAAGTGGTGTTGAGCTTGCCATACCCCAAATAGCCAAAACCCAGCACCGACATGTCGGTGCTTCACTAAAATTACTATCTAAGAAAAGTAATCACAAGATAAAATTAATATTACCATATGATTTAAATGAATATATATTTAAAGGAGAAAAACATATATAATATGACGAGTTGTTAAATTAAGGGATTCCATAATAAAATAATTGTTGTTACTGACAAGAATGAATTAAAAAAATGTAACTGTTCTGCGTGCATTTATATAAAACGAAGGTACTTGCGTCAAAACGATGGACCGTGACGCATAATCCATGGTGTTATTATCGGGGGAGGGAATTATTTGACGATACAAAGGTGTATTAATCTTGGGAGAAGCAAACAACGCGGCAACAAGTGAACCGACTCGAAAACACAGAAAGATGGTATCCAAAACCATGTTCAAGAAAGCAGAAAGACTCTGTACTCTGAATTATAATTTTAATTTTCAAATTCAATCTTAGCAAAAATTGAAAATATGTAATGCCAAATAAACCACTACCAACTGTAAGGGGATTGAACAGGGAAACTTATAGACCCTACACTAAAAAGGAAATTTAGTGATAAAAGTAGGAGACTTCGATAATGTTGCATTGTATATATATATATGATTCAGAGTGATGCATTATACAATAGTACGATTATGTTATCAACTCATCTTTATTTATGGAACGAATCTGAATGCTGGCTGACCCAAAACTCAAAAGCCAAAGCCTTACGGCATTACATTACAATAGAACAATATTGGTATGTTGCTTTGGATAATTTGAACATTTAATGAAAAAGAAGGAAAAAACCAAAAATTTAGGTGTATATATAACTCAATTCTTCTTCCCTTCTTCACCACCTTCTTCCAAATAAGTCTTCTTTCTTCTATCAGCCCTAGCGAGGACACAGATTAGGAAAAAACACGTGGCATAAATCCCGTGAATCTTCCAATTGGTCTTGGGAGGTTGCCGCAACACAACCCTGTGGAACACCGTCATATAGTAATGCAACCCAACGGCGAAGCCCACGAAGGTTTGGGCCAGGCCCAGGAATTTAGAGCCCAAGCCCGAGTCGGTGGAGAAGACCAAAACGAGATACATGAGAAGGAGAAGAAGGTAGAAGACATAAGCAAGGGTTTGAAGAACCTGCAAACACAAATACGTGGACCGCGAAGTAGAGTAGAAAAACCTGAGAGGTTCAAGACCAGTGATGAAAGAAGAGAGACAGAGAATGGAGAAGTAGATAGAGAGATAGGCTTGGATGAATATCAAGAGCTTCTGGAGAGAGAAATAAGCTTTGATTCTATTGAAAAGGAGAGAGACCAAAAGCAAAGGGATAAGAACGAATGCGCAAGAGAGGAAGGTGGCAAGGGTGGGTGCGTATTTGTTTCCCACGTAGGGTTTGAACCCTTTTGTGATCTCTTTGTTGGCTTTTGTGATGTAAGCTTTGGAGGTAATGGAGATTCGTTCCAGGTCTGGAATGAGTGTTTGCTGGAACCTGATGGGTAGATCCTTAAACTCCGAAACCAAATCATCGTCCTCTTCTTCCGACACCCAACTAGGCGGTGCTTGTTTCTTGTTACCCTTTTTACTCTGTTTATTGTCGGATTCAGTTTTATTGGTTCCCTTGTCGCTGGTGGCGGTGGGTTTTGTCGTTTTGTTCTTCGCGAGATCCAATGATTTTTTTATGGAAGTGGAATTCAGCTTCTTGGTTTTGAGGGTGGTGGTGTTGAGTTTCTTGACGGTGTCGGTGAGGGTGGGTTTGGTTTGGTTTTTGGTGGCTATTTTGGTTTGGTTTTTGAGAGAAAGGTTGGTGGGCTTGATTAACTTGGTGGATTTCTTTTTCTCTTGTTTTTCGGCTTCCAATTCCGACACTCTTCTTCTGCTGACACTAAAAGTAGACAAGGTTTTGGTCTGAGGTTGAGGTTGGGAGAAGCAAAGAGAGAGGAATAAGAACAAAAGAAGAGAGAAAAGGAGGAGCTTTATGGAAGCAGCGTAGGGGAGTGGAGCCATTTGTGAAACCGAACCAAGTAGTTCTGAGAGAACTAACAGGGATTGGGCCTTACCCTAACCCGCGAATTTATGTATGAATGTGGGAAGAGAAAAAGAGAGAGGGTGATGCCATTTGAGTTATTATGGAATGGTAGCGTAAATGGGCCACGGCAGAGAAAAGCATAGGAAATGGAGTATTTATTTCCAAAGTGGGAAGAGTGAGACCCATCACATGGCCAATGTAGATAGTGTAGTGCATACTCAACCACCTACGCGGTTTTCCCTTTCTTTTTTTTTTTGTCCTTTTTATGTGTGCATTAAAAAAAATATTTATATAACATTAACTTTTTAATAATTTGAATAAAATGATTTTCTTAAGAGCATATCAGTAAAATTAATATTTTATTTTGAGCGGTGCTTTGTGGATATCAATTTGACATTGGAATGGAGTATGAAGTCCTGCTTAGCTGCAGTGTTCATTGAGATCATATAATGACTTTCGTTGGTCAATCATTTCAACGAGTTTGGTAACTAAGAGACAAAATAAAGGGTAGGCTCCTAGAATGTTGACGGAGTGTACTTCAATTGCTTTTAAGTAATTTCTAGCAAATTACTTCAAAACAATTGGAGATAAAATAATATTTGGAGATAAAATTTATAAATAAAAAGTTGCTTTTTGTATATTAGACGTGACTCTTGATTCTTAAACTATAGTGTTTTTATAACTTGTTCTTTTATTATTTTATCTTATCATTTCTTCTATATTGAGTATTTATTTTTTAATTCAACCTTAATTTAAATATCTTAAAGTTTATTTATAAAGTTTAAAAACGTATCTCTTTAGCTTATTTAATTTAACACAATAAAATATCTATCCATAAAAAAAATTAGAAAATTTATAAAATTTCATGATTTTAGAAAAATATATATATATCTATAGCTTTAATAACTGTCATATAATACACGAGAATCTCACAAGTTAAATTATATTCTTAATACAAGACGATCGAAGACAAGAATAATTTCTAAAAATATTATTCTTCAAGAATAATTTAATAGAAACTGGCACAGTAAACTTTTATTACACCGTATATAATGATAATATTAGAAATTATATTTTTAATAGCATATAATATATAAATAATTTCAAAATTTTCAATTTTTATGATTATAAATTATTCTAATTACTAAATACAAAAATTATAAAATATCTTCTATATTTTTAAGATAATAAATATGTATATATATTTATTTAGAAAAATAAAAATTTCAATTTTTAAGGTTAAATTTTAACAACTGGTACTAAAAAAATTATTAAAAATTATTTAATACTTTTTTATAACTTTAAACTAATAAATGTGTTATTTTTTAATAAAAAAATTATAATATTGAATGTTAAAATTAAGCTTTATTAACAACAAAATTATTTAATATTTATTTTATTTGCACCTTCAATTAAATATAATAATGCAGGAACTTTTATTTGATACATTACATGTCACATAATTATTTTTATGGCAATTACTTTAAATGTAAACATTTTTAATTAATTGACAGTATAAAAATTTTATATTAATAATATGTTTAGATATTAGACTCTTAATATAATGATTTTTTTTTTGTCTGGTCGTGCATTCTTAAACTTTACATTTGTTCCCTTTATAAATAAAAAATTAACAATCAAATAACTAATCAAACGTGTAATGAGATAAATAAATATACACAACTTCTTCTCATGCAAATTTAATCTTGATTAATTGAAATGAGAAAATATTAATAGGAATATAATTTAAAATAGCCAATAAACATGTTTTCTTAAATTCTACGATGATGACTTCCTTACCCCTTATGCAAAATTTTAAACATCAATTATTTTAAAAAAACATCATTAACATAAATTTTAATATATTATTTCTAATACATTGTTTTATTGCTAGATGGACAAGACCTACCGAGTAAAATGAGATACCCATAATTTAATCAAGCACACATGACTTTCACCAAATAAAAAAAAAGGGTATTCTAAAAGATCATGTTCAAAATATACCGTAAACATTTTGTTTATTGTAAAATTCATAAAATTTTGGTTAGGCGTTTATATATATATATATATAATTACTAAAATATAGTGTTTTGAGAAAATTATCAATAACGTTTTTTTAGTATTTTTAAAAAATATTTATTTTTTATAAAATTCTAATTGATAATTTTATTTAAAAAAATTTCGTTAATTTTTTTACTTTATTATAATTTTTTATTTTTTTAAACCTGTTATTGATGATTTATGAAGTTTCATAACTTTTCGTACGAATTTTAAATTTTTGTAAATTTTTTTAAAATATAACATTTTAATATATATTAATTTTATATAAAAAATTCCTTGCGCTGATGTATTTTAATTATTATTAAATATAAAAAAATAAATTTCAGAACTCGTTAATCTATTTTAAATTAAAATTTAATTTAAATATACTGGCAATATAAATTTGTATTTTTATATTAACAATAATTTAAAATTATTTTTTTAAAATTATTATCTAATTTAAGAAGATAAAGATAATGACCTACGATAAAATCAGTGAGTTAAAAATAAAGAATTAACAGTACGTGATATTAATAAAAAGAGTTATTAATATGTTATGAATTTTCAAGTGCTCAACAGTAAAAACCAAGTAAGTCATTAAAATATATAATAAAAGTATTATAACATGTTAATTAATAATAACAAGACATACTGAAATATATATTCATCTAAACACAAACTGAATGAGGAAGAAAACGGAAGAAAAGTAGGTGATGCAAAGAATGGAATCAAAGTGGAAAGTGACCCAATAAAAACAGATCGAAATTCAAAAGGTTTTGGGACCGACACTAAACAACATACGTGTCATTGAATTTTATATTGCATCCTGGGATGCGATGAGATCTACTTGCTTTCGTCTTCCATTGTGGACTATGCCACTAGACAAGTCTGTGAATCAACTTTTATTTCTGTGCCACTCATCACTCTTTCTTTTTTACCTGTTTTTTCTGTCTGAATAATACTGTATAATTGATCAGTTTTATTATTTAAACTATTTTAAATTTATACCGTATTTAAAATATTAAACTATTAAAAATACTTTTAAACTTTGTTTAGAAATTTAGAGAGAAAAAAAAGGAGAGAAGGAGAGAGGGAAAAGAAGATTAAACTTTTTTCTTATTTGGATATTGAATATTGAGAGAACAAATTGATAGAAAGTTTAATTATATAAATGGTATTATTTTAAAATTAATATTTAAAAAAAAATTATAATCCTAATCGTGAAAAAGTATGAGAAAGTGAGAGAAAGAAAATTCCTAAAAAAACTCTCATATTGAAAAAATTCAAGAAACTAACGTTAGAAGAGTTTTGAAGGATTTAGATAAAACTCTCAAAACCTTCCCCTCCTAATTAAGCAATTCGCAAACAAAAGTTAACTCCTCATAACTCTTCCCTTTCCCTCCCCTCCTCTCCCCGAATCCATATTGTCTCCAGTTTATGCGAAAAAAAAAAACTTAAACGAAAATGATAGGCTTAAAAGAAAAATAGACAGAAAGCTTTAATTTCACTTAATCTTCTCTTTTCCTTCATCCTAAACCTAATATTCCCTCCTCAAACTTCATATTCGACCCTCTTTAACCTTCATATTCAACCTTCTTCTTTCTCTTATACCTAACTCTTCTTTTTTCTCTCATAATTTTCTTTTCCTTCAACCTCATACCTAACTCCTCTCTTCCTCTTCTTATTCTCACCCCATCCAATACCTATATCTCTCTCTTCTCTATATTCAACTCTTTACTTTCCTCTTTCTCCATAGTTACTCTTATACCACCTACTCTCTTTATTTACATCCATTATTAGTCATCTCTTTTCTCTACACCCAACCTTCATATCTTCAAATACGCAAAATCTGCTTAAGCTAAAATATTTCACTTAAACAAATATGCACAATTCGCTTAAGTAAAAAAAATTAGCTTAAGCTAAAATAATTTGTTTAAGCAAATATGCATAATTTGTTTAAGCCAAAAAAAATAGCTTAAGCTAATTTTGCATAAAAAATTTTAGCAGTCGAAGAAAAGAAAAGTGAAGAGTTGAATATAGAGAAAAGAAGGAGAGATAGGTATCAGGTGGGGTGAGAATGAAAAGAGGAAGAAAAGAGTTGGATATGAGGTTAAAGAAAAAGAGAGTTATGAGGAAAAGAGAGTTATGAGTTAGGTATAAGAAAAAGAAAAAGGTTGAATATGGAGGTAAAAGGGGTTGAATATGTAGTTTGAGGAGGAAAATGTTAGGTTTAGAATAAAAATTAAAGCTCTTTGTCTATTTTTTTGTTGAAGTCATCATTTTTGCTTAAGCCATTTTTTGTTTAAGATTTTTTTTTTGCTTAAGCTGTTTGTTTTATAAAAATTGGTTTAAGCCATTTTGTCGCAGTTTTAAGTAAAATTAATTTATTTTTACTTAAGTAAATTAGAATCGCTTAAGCGAAAAATAAATTAGATATCCAATTCTCATGTAAACTAGAGACAATCTGGATCTTCCCTCCCCTCTTCTCCTAAACTAAACTCTCAAATATAACCTTAAAAAAATAATTTAAAAATGTCTCTTTATCCTATAACTAAAATAGAGACATTTTAACCCTAAAACAATTTAAACTAGAGACAAAATCTGCTTAAGCTAAAATATTTCGCTTAAACAAATATGCACAATTCGCTTAAGTCAAAAAAATTAGCTTAAGTTAAAATAATTTGTTTAAGCAAATATGCATAATTTGCTTAAACCAAAAAAATTAGCTTAAGCTAATTTTGTGTAAAAAATTTTGGCAGTGAAGGAAAAGAAAAGTGAAGAGTTGAATATAGAGAAAAGAAGGAGTGATAAGTATCCGGTGGGATGAGAATGAAAAGAGGAAGAAAGGAGTTGGGTATGAGGTTAAAGGAAAAGAGATTTATGAGGAAAAGAGAGTTATGAGTTAGGTATAAGAAAAAGAAGAAGGTTGAATATGGAGGTAAAAGAGGTTGAATATGGAGTTTGAGGAAGAAAATGTTAGGTTTAGAAAGAAGAAGAAGAAAATATTAAGTAAAAATTAAAGCTTTTTGTCTATTTTTTTGCTTAAGTCATTTTTTGTTTAAGATTTTTTTTTTGCTTAA